TTTGCATAACTTTCGAGAATTCTCCCAGCCCCCCGAGTGTTAAGATGAGGCTATGTAACCATGGAAAAAGCGCTCTATTGCTTTTATAAAATAATTCTCAAAAATACGCGCGAATCTAAAACGTCACAACTGTGTTTACATGCTCTCATCTAAACACACCTATCGACCAATGAGAGCGCGCGTAGTAGCTAAGTTATTTTATAACTGAAGATCTTTCACAAGCCTACGGCAAGCTCGAGGAAAATGGCGAAAAGCTTGCACGAACGCGTGTTTCCTCTTACTGAGAGTCTGGAAGAGCCCAAAATAAAAGCCTCACACCAACAAACCTTTTGTAAATCTTCGTATTTAAGAAACAAGACATTTGGATCATCTTTGTGCTTCCACCAGTCTAGAACATGGTCATTCCAGAAGTTCCAAATTACTGCACTTAACAGAAAAAGAAAAGATTAACTCAGGACAAGTTACAGAAATCAGAAATAAAGTGAACATGAGTTCTCAGAACATGTCATAGCTACTGTAATTATTTGTGTACCTTGAGTATTCTTTGTTTTTTTCTTTGTGTTAAAAAAGCAAGAGTGAGTCTGTTAACTCTTTAAAATTCGTGGACTTGGCAGAGTGTTGATGTCAGGATGCTCAGCACATGGATAGTGTGCCCGTTCTAGGAATGGCACTCGTTCTCTAAAATGGGTACTTTTGACTTGTCCTTCATTAAATATCTGCCAGACAATTTCTTGAACCCATGTTGTCCCTGAATGAATCGAAACGACGTCAAATCAGTTCTAATACAAGGTGTTAAGCAGTATTAAATAATAAGTTATAAAAGTTGGGCTATGGATTGACTTCAAACGGGGTTGAGTATACATTGGGCTGTAAGGGACCGGTCATAATTTATCGCCGGGGGGTGGGGGTGGTGGGTGGGGTTTGGAGGATTTGGGGGGATCACTTGATTTTTAGGATAAGGCTCAGTATTTAGTTCACTCCAATTGAATAATGAACTTTTTTTTACGTATTTCACCATTAAACCAGAGCTACCGCCGTGGCTTCTTGTTAATCCTTTCACGTATTTTCTGCTCGTGCTGTTCCAAATGTAGCTGGAGACAAGAAGTGGAGGTAACGTCACGTATTGGACAGGAATCGTACGCCGCCTCAGCTGGAACCGTTAACTTTGGAATGGACTCTGACACTAAAGATGTTGTACTCACAGGGGTATGCTCAGTGGAGAATGCTGAGCTTAAAGTGGTTGAGAATGGTAACATGTAGCAAGTGAAAACGTCTCCGTCGGGCCAAGTGGTCCATACACCACAAGAGCTTTATCCCAGTTTCTGTATTAGATTGCCAGCGGTCTCTCTTTTCCTCGAAAATCCGTGGGGAAGAACGCAAAACAAGTAAGCGTGAGTGCGTGACGTGCGAGCGGCGATACCGCGAGCCGCTGGTAGCGCAGGCTTCGGAAGACGAACGGAAAGGAAGATTTGGATGCTACAGTGCAGTCTCTCTTTTTGCTCGTCCTCCGAAACCCGCGCTACTAACGGCTCGCGGCATCGCCGCTCGCACGTCACGCTCGTACGCTTACTTGTTTTGCGTTCTTCTCCACGGTTTTCGACGAAAAGAGAGAGGCACTGTGGGAGTAAAGTGTCTTGTCTAAGAATTTATTTTTATTTATTTATTCATTTATTTATTTATTTATTTATTTATTTATTTATTTGTTCCTCCAATTCCTAGCTAAGAACACAACGCAATGTCTCCGGCCAGGGCTCGAACCAGGACTGCTCGATCCGGGGTCTGGCACACTAACCATGAGGCCACCGCGCGTACCACAAGAGTAAAAGTGAAGCTGACTCATAAAAACAAAGCAGCTTAGGTTAAGAAGACCTCCATAAAAGTTGCCAATTAATTCCCCTTGTTTACTGAATTCAGTTCCCTAGATCTCTGTTGAACCAGCTACGTCATAAGTACAGGTACTTCTCTCCCGCGTGGGATGTGCTTGTCGCGCCTCGCGTGGTGGCGCCTCGCGCGGGACGAGCTGGTCGC